GCGTTATTAAACATCGAAGACTTCATCGAATTAAACGCAACATAGAAGAAATATATTAGGCTGCTCTGCATAAGTATGCTACATGGGTCAGTCGTACTTTTACAGGATGGGAGAGAGAAATAAACGTGTATTTAAAACAGTGTTCCGAGCGAGGACCGGTGACAACCTAAGGTGAGAAAGTTCCCTAGTGCAGGAACACTCTATAGCTTCGACTGCCCCCTTGGCCCTGGTGACGAGTTGTCGCTGCGTCTTCCAGGTCCTCGAGCACGAGTTTGGCCTCCCACGTTTCGATCAGGTGGTCGTCGTTCGTTCTTGGTGCTTGGTCCCGCTGTGGCTGCATGTCCTAATTTGCATGGCACTGGCATTCCAGGAGCAAGTGCCAGGGTGTCTGGTACGCTGCAGAGCGGGCACGTGTAGTCATGTTTCGTTGGGTAGAGGCGGTAAACAAGATAAAAAACTGCTTTTTACTCCAATCATAGCGCTGGGATAACGCGTAGAATAAGCCGTAATCGAAGACGTCCCTTCAAGCTGTCGTACAACAGAGCTCGCTGCGAGGATCACGATTTGAAAGACATCCGCTCGGGATCTATTCTGTTACTATAAAGGGCGCTTTTATTTTTTTTTTCCAAAACAGCCCTGAAACATCGCAGTGACACAGTTCTGATGTCGGCAGGAAACGCTAAGTCTATAATCTCAATAATAGAGGTCACACGACACATTATGCGTTTGATGATGATGGCCAATATGTACGGCTCACAGTTACTACAGGGGATTGCCACGAAATGAATAACTAGATAGAAGGGATCACATTTGGGGTGTGTTCCAATACTCACCGTAGACGGCTAAATAGACAGCTAAATGGATGGCGGTCATCTTAAGTCCCATTCCAATCCTCACGTCGCCGGCAACATAGACAGCTCCGAGAAGATCGCATCGTAGACAAATACTATGCAGGCTACTTTGCTGTCTAAACAATATGGCGGCTCAGCGAATCGCTCAGATAGATCGGATCTCGCCGTAATGGTCGTCTGCACACAAGCAGACGCTTCTACAGACGCCCAATGTGCGTAACGTTTATTGTTTTTAGATTTTAACACGAAATGAGCCAAAAAATACAATTTTTACGTTTGTTTATTTCGGCTTTTTTTCTTTCGACGTGAGGTGGCGCATTGTCGCGTAAAAGCCGTCTAAATGTGTTCCATTTCTCGGACAGCATGGGCTCGATGCTGTCTTCTAAGCAGTCTGCGTAGACTGTCTACGTGCTGTCTAGGAATTAAAACACAGCCATTAATTGTATATCTAATGAATAGAAAACTCAAGGGAGGTTCAAGAAGACTCGAGGAAGATGATGATGATGCCTTTACCATGGCTCATACCCACTCAGAGTGATTGGCCAGGAATTAACTATATGCTTTTTTGGACATATCAAGTATTAAATATTGATAGCAATAAAGAAGTACTTAAAACATTAAGAGTGCAATAATTGTTTTTAACCGTATTTTTCATGGTATTCTTTTTAGTCGATTGTACTGATGAACGGCACATATCTGCACTTACAACTAGGTCTTGTAAGTGCAACTTTGTGTGTCTTCACTATCTTTTTTTTTTCATGGTGCTGAAAAGAACGTCATTAAGAACTGCCGAATTTATGGCCTCACTCTGTAGGCTGCCACGACGGGAACCGAGTACCCTGTCTCCTCCACGTTTTTTTACACTGTTTTTCTTAAAAAAAATATAACCCAACAGCGTGTACTACTTGTTCACAATACCGTCCACGTTGTTTACTCCAGTGAACGAAAAAGTGCCCTAGTTTTTCTCAACCCGTACAAACCTCGCACGCACAAGTGTCATCTCTGATAGTGTTCGCACCAATTTTTATGCGATGACACGAGCAAAGAGAAAAAAAATGTAATTTTTTTACGTTTATCGAGAATACAAAAGCAATCTCACGGCGCGTCCCGTAGGGGAAACGATTTTCTGGCGTGTCAATGCGACACGGGTGTCTTCTTTCCTCGTGCGCCCTTAGGCGTGCGCAGCAGGGAGCGATTCGGGTCGCATCGACGCGCCGGTCGATGCGACCCGAATCCGAACACGACCTGGTTTCGCTCAACCGGCTGCTTTTCCTGACTGCGGTACAAGAAATAGTGTAGCTCCGAAGGGAGTTTTATTCCTGTTACTGCGATGACACTTTCTCTTCTCCTTTCAATGGCGATATTGTGACTTAGAGGAGCGTGGCTTTCTTTCTTTGCACTCCTCCTCTTTCCCTTTTTCTCTGTCTTCATCTTTAAAACTCACCCTTCCCTCTCACAAGTGTAGGGTGGCATACTGGTTCTTCTATACTGGTTAACATCCCTGCCTTTCACCTCTCTCATGTTCCTTCCTTCCTTCTCTTCCTCTCTCATTTCTCTATTCCTTTTGTAAAGGAGAAATATTATATGCCTTATCAAACGCGAAAGGGGACAATCGGCGGCGTCGGCATCTACACGAGGGGTGCAGGAATCATCACGTGGAGACGCCACTTAACGACCGTATAGGTCACCAGCATTCCTGGTGTAAATGACGTCGCTGTGACGTCACATAACCTGTTCCCGCGTTGAAATTCGTCGTCGCATTTCGTCGTCGTTTCGTGGGCTGATCCGGGAAGCACTGCAAAACCACGTTATGTGCAGCAGAAAGATTTCAGTAAGGAGGCGTGGAAGGTGGCGATGCAAAAAAAAAAAAAAAAAATACATGGACTGAGAAAGAAAGCGATGACGGCTATCGGTTTCTGGTCCTCTTAAGCAAAATGCATAAGGGCGCGTGGGACGTTTGTTTTCCGCGATTACGTTTATATGCTGCTCTTTAAACGAATTTTTTCGGCATGAGTTGCCTCCGAGAGCCGAGTGCGAAATCTGCTGTTTCGTCAGTGCAATGACCTTATAAGTTGAAGGGTATGTGGGCCTCCATAGAGATACATGGGATAGTGGCCTAGAAACTTTTGACCCCCTCCCCCTCCTCTTTAGATAAACGCTTGTGCGCACTTAAATGAGCGCGTTTCCTGCCTGAGTATCGTTCTTTAATGGTTTTTTTTCAACGGTACCAACGATCATCGCCGCATGTGACGCCACCACGAGCACATCTAAGTGCGTGAACATCATCACAGCGAGGCGAAATAAAAATCAGTGTCTCGCAATCAACATATTTGCTCAGCGCAAGACTACGAGTGGTTACGATGTAACTACAGAAGAAAAGACAAGGACAGAAAGAGCGCTCTTTCTGTCCTTGTCTCTTCTTCTGTAGTTACGTCGTAACTACTCGTAGTCTTGCGCTGTGCAAATATGTTGATTCCCAATCACCAACTAGACCAAGCATCTGTCCTATCAAGTCTCGCGATGTTACTACATTGTGATGACTTCGACTTTGGAGTATAGGTAAAGATAACTCGCTAAGTATTTCGGTAAAACATGCATAACAAGTGGTTTGGTGGCGTATGCAGAAATTTGTTTAGGGTGTGTCTGTGGGCGGGTGGGGGGGGGGGGGGGGACGGTGGGGGCAGGGATGTGTGTTTGAACTTAAGTGCGGGCCGGCCATGCAAGTGTGGTCGTAGTTGCCTTCGTCGCCGTGGCAAGGTTGAGGCGAAGAGCACACCGGCTGCTACATATTTCTATAAAATCATAGTTTACTAATTGAGCGTAACGATTACAATAATAGTTGGGGTTTTACGCTCCAACACCGCGGTGTGATTATGAGAAACGCCATACTGCTTAGGGCTGCGGAAATTTGTTCCACTCGGGGCTCTTTAGCGTGTGCCTCAAAGAACACTGTACGCCAGCGTTTCGCGTTCATCTAAATGCTACTGCCATGGTCGGAATTCGATCCCGGGACCTTACCGTCAGCACTCGAGCACTACAATCACTAGACCGCCACGGTGAGCCATGAAATGTAACGAAGCAGAGGGGCGCAGAAGCCAGATATTAATGACGCAACTCGCGCAGTGCGTCGAAAATTTTGGTTGTAACTTTCTTCGTTCGTCTTTTTTTTTTCTACTTGCAGGAGTCGTCTCACCAGAAAGGATCCATCCGAAGCTGCAAGCAAAGCTGTGGGACTTTCTTCCTTTTGTTGACCGACTGGTCACCACAATCGCTTCAGCATCGACCCAACAAGCGGCGTTGCACTTCTCTTTATTCTTCGGCAACTCTGGAAACTGGCCCAGCTGAAGCAACCATCGAAGAGCTTTGCTTTCTTTCTGTATTGACAATCTAAGACAGCGGGGGGAAAAGCCATCGGACCACTCAATCCGCAATCAGTAGACCATACGGCGCAGCGCAGTGGAACGACCGCCTCCCAGCTTCAATATAAGAGACCGAGATAATAATCTCACGAGAAAGCTGCAAACAATCAAGACTTCGATAGCACCATCGCTTATACACTAGGCCCTCGGACCAGTACAAGAGATAACTGCGTAACACTGTATTAGGGCGAAGAATAGTGCGGTGAATATTTTTTTACCACAGAACTTCATTCGGCCTTGAGATATAACAGCACCAAGAAGAAATCGAGTTTTCCGACAACTTAAACGTCGAGTATCGAGTGATGTATTAGCAAACAACAGGGGCGCAGTGCCACTCGGTTTATCTGCGTGGGGAATCTGTTATCCCTGTGGAATCAAAATAGCCTCGGAGAACCTGACCAGCGAAACATCTCATTGTATCGATGCAAAGGCAACGGGAAATCTAGTTACCTGATGGTTTAGCTTTAACTCATAGTTGTGCACTGATAATTGACACCGGTGAAGCGCGATATCCATTATTTCAATTATTTTTGAAGAATCCGATAACCATAGAAAGTTGAGACGTGCGCAGCAAAGGCTTGTACACAGAACCTTTGAACCAATTAACTGCGCTATAAGAGAACCTACCTACCTGACTAATTACCCTCAAGCTTTATTAATGCACTCATTCGAAACATGTTATATACCACTGATAGAATCTAATGACATCTACATATACTTCAATCCTCATCGTGTTATACTACGGACCTCACTGTAAGGATAAAAACGAAGTCGGATTTCCCGCTATCACGAGTACGTGTACACACAAATTAAACCAAATTAAAGATACTAAGAGAGCATTGCGATTCTAGTTTTTTTTCTTTAGTAAAGTTATAAGGAGCACCGAAATCATGACGTCATACTGAAGGACCTCCCTTTGGGACCATTAACCGAATAGCCCACTTCGTCGACTAACTGGACACAATATTTTATATTGTAGCAGGAGTCTTGTCCAGCTCAAGCAAAACTACATATCTCAAGTACCTATTGAAAAATATCAGCTCTTTTTCAGCAAGCCGTCATACTAAAGACCAAAGAGCAGGAAAATGACCACAAGATTTTTTACCGTAACCTTTACATAACATAGCAAATAGCACCAGCCGATGCTTGGAGCAGCGTTTTAGAGCTGCCTAGAGCCGGTTGCATAGCGTATTAGTTATTCTCAGCCCATCATAATCTCGGCTTCAAGATTTCGTAAAAGGCTGGTGCCTCAAGTGTAGATAAAATAATGATGTCTATGTAGAAGACACGTGCTGGCAGTTCTGCCAGAATATACAGGGTTTGTAAAGATTTTCAAGTCCACCCCACCTTTTACAGATCAGCGTAGGATATAGCCAGGCTATAATAGAGACCAGAATTATATAGTTCAGACAGCCTAAGTAGCCTGGTAAAAGTAGCCGGGTAACTGGCGGCAGCTGCAGCATTGTCGACTGGCCAAAGCTGGACCAGTAAAAACGACACGAGTTTTCGTCGTTCGTGACGGAAGCTCTGACTGTGCTGAAATCCTTCAAAGCAATTTGCCGTGTGGTAATCTAGAAATTTCGCAAGTGAACAACTGGATTTCTGGCTTGAATCTCGGCCAAAATTTAGGTAGCTGATTTTCGATCAAAATGATAAGCCGCTGAAACAATATAGAGTGTTTTGCTGGCACTTGAGAATACCAGACATGACATAAGAGCTCATGTGAAAATAAAATTCTACAATCCAGTCGGGCAGATGATTAGTCATGCCATTCTTTAGGAGCAACACCAACAGTTAAAAACAAGCCCGGAGTCAATCAAAACAGAACGGTTATGCCCCGCAACACGCTCGATAGTATCGACATTCTGAAGTGGAGGGACGGCATTTTTCGTTTGGCAGAGCTGCACAAAAATTGTCAGGGTACACCAATACCTCTGCTGATTATCCGCCAGTCTTTCCTTCAGGCCAAGCTCTAGGAAAATATACTCTGAAAAGAAGGCGCTGCGAAGACCACTTCTGAAGTCACTAAACCAATCACCACTGCGAAACCATACAAGATACCGTCATCTACATTGTACGAGAGAACGCAACACCAACATTGCGAGGGAACCTCAGAAATCGCACCTGTTTGTACACTTCATGGTTATCACGTGATCAGACGCGTGTCAGGAAAACTTCAGGAGTCATAAAAACAAAAAAGAAAACGAGAACATGTCTGAAACAGTGCGCTAGACACAAAAAGGACAGGTGTGAAACAAAACAATACCTACATCCGCTCTTCAAGGGACTCTTGGGAAAACGGTGAACCCCTGCACCGAACAATCGAACGCTTGTCTCTGGAAGGCATTGAGACTGGAAAGCAAGCTGGAGCTGTGACAAAGTGAAGCCAGGTGTCCAGGAGCCTATCTGAGAAGGATACTGCACCACTGGAAGACCGAATGCTTGCGACGTGATACCAAGGGAACCAGGAGGCGTCGTCGACAAAGCAGGCAGTACAGGAGAGGCCCGTTCCGTCGAATGGCTCCCGTTCAGGCGCGTCACGTCCAGCGCGCCCCGCATTTGACGTCGCCCATAGACGTGCACTGCCACAACATGACCAGACTCCTGCTGTCGCTGACGGCCAACCTCTCCTCCTCGTCGTCGTCACCATCAGTGAACGTGTCCCGGGGTGCAGAGGACGACCTGTGGTTGACCAACGGGTCCTCCACGTCGGGCACGGGTTCTCCTGCCATCGACGACCGGGAGTCGGAGGCGAGCCAGCGCCAGGCTCTGCTCTACATCGTGGTGGTGCTGTTCTTCTACTCCTTCGGCATCGGCTTCATGATGATACGCTACATGCGCCAGGAGGCCAAAGAACAGGAGGAGTGCAAGATGTACCGCAGGTCAGTGCGTTCGAAGGTTCACTCTCACACAAAAAAAAGTTGGAAGTTTTTTGTGTGTGTGTGTGCGTCTTGACTTGTCACGTGTGTCACTTTCTCTGAATATTGAAAAACGTGAACTCTCTTAACAAATCCTCGTGCTTTCTTCTGACAGTCATGTGACCCAAAACAGTTACAAACGCCGTGAACGTTCCAGGCCAGGATTCACCTAAAAGAGTAACGCATATTCTGATTTTTTTTTTCTTACTAGTCATTCACGGCAGAGCCAGCGTGGAGTCAGCAGTGCAAGTACAGGGATAAGCGCTATGGCCTAGGTATTCATTAATTCGCACACCGCCAGCACTGTTTAGCACAGGCTAATGTCGGCCAGTGGTGGCTAAATAGGAGTTTTTGACTAACGCTTGCTAATGTTGTCCTGTGTTGGCTTACGGGTGGCAATTGTCGGATAGTGTTGCCACGAGGTCGCTAAATATTAGCCATACAGTAGGCTAGTCTTTCTAATGAAGGCTATCCGCTGCAACGACAACCTTTTAATTGTGTTGCCTTCATTAAATCTCACTGCAATTGCGCTTTCGCATGTACAGTACAGTCCACTGTCGAAGGGAACGCTCGAATCTGCGTATTTCGTATTGCTGGCCACCTAACTACGAGTGTACGTGTAAATATTGGTCGCGCACTTCACGAGTCTCTCAAAAGGTTTCAGAACCGTCGAACACCTTATTCAAGTGTACACACAGTTACAACCTAAGAAAACATGTCAGCTCCGCCCACGGCCACAGATGTCCCTTCCACAGATAGAATTTGCATAAACTTTTGATCCAATAACACTTACTCATTTCGATGACGTCAAGCTCTTTTCAAGTTTTTAGATAGGTCACTTAACCATACAGAACCTTATGTTGCTGGTTGTGTTGCTGGTTTTAGGTCGGAAACTTGAACAGCCCCAGTAAATTTAATCAGGAATTCTGACATCGCTGCTTATCCAAACTTTATGCACTAACGACGAATTAAACTCTTAGTAATACGCGTATTATTCACATTAGCTGATAAACTGTGTTTACGGTTCGGACGGAAACCAGCTGGCACGACGGTCTTTCACAGACGAAGGGCTGGGGCACTGCAGTTTTGTCTACAGAGCTCACGCTTTTTTTTTTAGATTCCAACAGACTATTACGCCCCTCTCATTTTGCTACAGCGTGAAATCCTGACATGCCCTGCACACGTGTGTTCCTTTTAACAGTGAACCCGTGAGTAAACAGACAACAGCCTTTGTTGCTATTGCCTAAAATTTATATTTATCAAGGCACGCCTTCTGACTAAGCAGGGCTCACTCTTCTTATGCTCCTCTGTCCGCAGATACATCAACGCTGCTCACGAGCAGTACCTGAACGCAACGAACCGAGCAAGGCTGGCCAACAGGCTGGCGCTGCAGGCGCTGAACACCGTCAACGCCATACCGCAGACAACCCACGTCGGTTCCAAGGTGACCTTCGTATGACGACCGGCCAAGGCCTTCTTCTAGACGTCCCAGCGCATGGACAGGACGTCAGCTTCTGCGTTTGGTCTGCGGCACCGCAACGTCGATCTCCGGAAAAAGAAAAGATAATGCTCTATTCCCCTGCTGGAACCTGACAAACGATCCTACAGAAGCGTGTTGATAAAGAAGCAGACGGCTTGTTCGCCTGCTGGACTGCTGAACTCTGAAGCATGCGACGTTGCAGGAGTGTATTGTCAATATATATACATGTGGAGTTGTCCACTCAAACGGTCATCCACTGCACCTCCTACTAGCAATGATCAAGCATGCGGAAACATAGGAGAAGGTCCTGGCGGTCCTTTTTGTCAGCTGTTCTGCCTGACCATTCTAAGGTTTCAAAAAGGTCCCCGGAACATCTTCATCATGTTACCTGTGCCTCGGCGTTCATAATTTATTAACCGTGTTGCGCCAGGACATGCTGAGTTCAAGTCATCGCGGATGGGCTCGTTTGAACCAAGGAATAGAGTTCAACCACGTGAAGCTTCTGTGAAATCTACCAAAGAAGGGTTTACGCTCACCAAGGAGACGGTAACCTCGACGAAAGGGAAGTGATCGTTGGAGACGCTCAGAGCTATACGTCGAGAATTGTGGTTCAGGAACTCAACAATCAGCACACGGAAGACGACCTTCTACTCAACCCATTCCTCCCCAACGCAGTTGCGTGTTGAAGTGAGGAGCTTGTGAAATATATATATTTTGAGTCAGTTTGCGCGAAGACTTCGAGGAGGCAGCAGTGTGACCACAAACGCTTGTCCATCTGCCGCAAAGTACGTGCGCTTGGTTTAGTGGGACACGAGCGCGCAGGGTGGTGACTGTTAGACGACTGTGAAAGCGCGCACCAAGGCAGCTGTACGGACAGTTTTCTGCATGCGATTCTTACCCACTACTCGGTCTTTGCGCACTTGAGACCTGACCTCAAAGAAGCCAATCGTACTGGCGGGTATACATATAACGTCCCAGACCAGACTGATTAATAATTGATCTGCGGCATAAGAGATCCCAACGAAGGGTTCAAGTCACATCTCCTGGAGCCGAACTTGTTAAAGTGTTAGCATGACGAGGCACAAAACGGGCTGAACGAAGTGTACGAGTTCACCTAAGCCCTCTGTGTGAACCCCACTTAATGTACTCGCATGGTACTAGCACTTAGTTGGTGAGCTTTTGACTTGTGCTGGCTAGATGTCAGTTGGTGTATTGGCCAATGCTGGAGTGTAACGTAATCGAAGGTAATTACAGGTAATTAAGGGTTAGGTCAGTGCATAATTTCTTTACCTTTCGCTCACGTCACCACTAAATGTTCTAATCTCCTGTTTGTCAGTTTGTAAAACCAGTGACAACTTACATCATTAGCGCCAAGCTCGACCTCATCGTGACATCTGTCTTCGAGATGACGTTCAAGAGACGCAGCATTCGTGTTGCGGCTTGAGGACTGGAGAACCCCGTAACCCGTGCATATTTTTGTTTATTTTCTCGACTTGTTGAATACGTAGTGTTGCAATTGCACGCATACATATATACGTGTCTTCCTTATCCACCACTTTCTGACGCTTTTGATTGTCACTTGAGCTATTTGCATTTGGATGACTTATACACAGTGACGACCCGTTCCTGTCGACCAGAAAGCACACGTGCATAGCTGGTGGTACTGGTTCTTGAAGAAAAAGAAGAAGGCACCTAATTTCTGCAGCCCTTTATGGCGCACTGCCTAGGCGTGCGCAGATGGGAGGCAAGGGGGGCCACCTCCTCCCCCCACATTTGTTTATTGGGAACGCTAAGTCCGCCTCATAGCTTTGCTCAGTCAGACCTCTCGTCATGATTGAATGGGCAGGGTCATGACTAGGTAGGTTTTTGTCGATAATGACGGCCGAGTACTTCCGGTGTAGCCCACTCCGACTGTTTTGCATCCAATGGAGCCCTTGTTTTCTTTCTGACTCAGCCAATGAAAGGAGAGGGGGGGGGGGGGGGCAAGCGTGTGGCGAAATTTTGCCCCTATTGAAGGAAAGCCCTATATACGCACGCTTGTACACAAGTGTTTACGTAGAGTAGCACTGCAAGCCTTTGTTTCGTTTCATTGATTTTTTTTACGGCGGATGAATGAGCGCAATCAGTTATCTTCAACTCGAAATAACAACGGCTCACCGAAACCATTCAACGCTAAGACCACATGCCCAATGAGACGACCGGCCTCAGTTAACGCTCCTATTACCAAACGTCCACCTCGTCGCACATTTTTCCGTTGAAGAGACAGTCCCTGTAGTTCACGGTAGTGGCAAAGATGTGACGCTCACAGCCAAAGCACAACTTCTGGCGTTCTTGGGAAGTTAAGTAGTAATAAAATAAAACTTGAGTATAGGTACAGGAAGTGCTGACTTCTGCGACTCCACCAGATGGTCCTCGGTCGTTGCTGAAGGCGACCTCCTCTGCTTTTGCGTGACCCGGGTTGTACGTCCGGAGCAGAGCTGGCCCTCTGAGTCTCCCGCTTACGCGAGTCTACAAGCTTCCGGTTTGGTAGAAGGGTCCACACGTTAGTTCAACAAGATGCGTTTCATCGAGGCCATCGTCCCACATTTGGGCTATCGGGTTTGAATTCGTCTGGGTGGGTGTTGAAGCTCTCTTTGACTGTCATATTTAACTTTACACGACATTTTCAAAATGAATTTTACTCTATTGCGGCATCATTTAAATGCACTTCGAGCGAGCTAGATCATTACTTTCGTGATGATAACACACGGGACAACAGCTTATGTTCATTCGGGAGTTCGCGCGGCTAAACAAAATGCGACGCAACAGGCACTTCTTTTTGTGTACGCTTGTTTTCAGTGCATAATACAGTTATATCGCGTACGCGTGCGTTGGCGACGTCAGCGAACAAGATCTATCCATAAGAGGATCTTTGATGACATGCAGAACCGGGTAAGGAGGGCGGCAGGGGCACGTAAGGCCGTGCTTCGAGTGACCAAGATGACCACAACGAGTATGCAGAAAATATCGATACGCAATGTCCACAAGGCAGATCATATCAATCACAAGAATGGCCTTGCAGAAGTGAACCATATTTTTCACGTAGTCTCGTTCAGCCTGCTAAGTATTATAGCTATAGATGGATCAGTGCGATGCGTGGCGAGTGTCGAAACGCTTTCAAAAAAAATGGCACAAAGGCTTTCGTAGCAGAGACCGTGGCTGAAATAAGAAAAAGCGACGACTGAACGCCACTGAGTGATAATTGTCGTTCAGCGCTAATTCTACATTTTTACATGGACTACTGCGTTGTCATTTTGCCCTTTCGGGAGAAGTTGTACGACGCACCGTGTTAGCTAATCAGAGAGTGCCGCAGCTGCCCCCTGGGCCATTCAAAGCCTACGACCAAGATGGTCAAAAGATGGCGCTTAATGTCACCATCGCCATCAGCATGGCTGCTTTAGGCCCCGTATATCTTCCGTATGAGGTCTACAGAACGTCTGCAAACTATTGAACGTACATCAGAAAGTACTGCTTTTTGTGGACTGTATACATCTAACGGATGAGTTCAAGTGCCGCTATCTCAGGCTGTGTACGTTGTCAGCTTGTATTTGTAACAATTACTAAGTAAAAGATACCATATGGTAGATTGATTAAGTCTAAAAACGTCTTAATCCGTTCACACTTTCATTAACCTGTTAATTTGTCACTGCAACGCACAGAACAGAAATCACTCATGTCCAAGATGGTGGCCCAATGCATGAGTCAAAAACGAAATTATTTATTGTGCTGAGACAGTGGCTGGACGAATTGCAAGTTCCATGGCGTTGCCGAACAGCCGAAGCACTTGCGATATATGTGTGTTCATGGAATTACCAGTTGAACAAGTTCTTTCAGGTGTTTCTTCAGTTCTTTCAGGTGTTTCTTCAGATGTGCGAAAACTTCTAATGACGTGAGCCACCTCTGACGTATTCAGCGACCGTGTCCGTGATATGTTGGCATATTTTTGTCAGAGCCCTACGAAGAGCATTATATACACATCAAGGCTCTGGATATTTGTAAATAGATACCTGCATCTACCGTGTCTGCGGACAGAAAAATAAACGAGTTGAAACTGTTATCCTGTGTGTTTAATACCTCCCCTTCTTGTGTTATTCTGCCATATGGTGCGCGAAGCGGCTATCAATTTCTGATTGATTGATATGTGGGGTTCAACGTTCTTAAAACCACTATATGATTATGAGAGACGCCGTAGTGGAGGGCTCCGGAAATTTAGACCACCTGGGTTCTTTAACGTGCACACAAATCTGAGCACACGGGCCTACAACGTTTCCGCCTCTATCGAAAATGCAGCCGGGATTCGATCCCGCAACCTGCGGGTCAGCAGCCGAGTACCTTAGCCACTAGAACACTGTGGGGTGGCTATCAATTTCTGGTTGGGATAACAGGTGACTACCACACTTCCAAACATTAGGCACAGTAGTGGCGGATTTCCAGCGCGCACTGGAAAGGAAAATTTACGGCAGATAAGAATTCCAGGCGAAGTCAATGTCGAGAAGTACATCAAGGTATTTAACAGATGAAACATAGTGAACAGCTGTGCAAGAACATGGAGATGAATAGTAAACCAGCAATAGGGTACCTAAATTAACGTTTTTCAGTGGATTATGAAACAAATGAGCTGTGTTTTAAAGACGTTTACATTAATTACAGTATAAACGAACCAGTTCATAAAACTTGTCATGGCATCTTGCAGAAGGGAAAGTGCTTCTGGGAAACGAAAATTCCGAATACAAAATGACCGTGTTGTCAGCGTATTGAAATATGCTAGTAGATACAGTCGCGGCGAGATTATTAACGTGCAAGTGGGAAAAAAATGGGCGTAATATTTATCCCTGTGGTACGGAGACCTTTATAAAGTTTATATTGCTACGGTACTGTCCTATGGATACTAACTGTTTTCTATATTAAAAGTTAGCAAGTATTTCTAAAGAAGGCCCAAGAAGTCCAGTCAATGAGAGAATCGGCATTAGTAAACTATGACACACACTGTCAAGAGCTTTTCTAACATCCACGACTAGAGCCCGTACAATCTGGTTCGCTTCTAAAGCAGAATTTATAAGGTCTGAAATATCCTCTACTAGGTTTTCTGTGCCTCTACCTAGTGTCAAACGATATTGTGCATCTGATATGTTATTGGCATCAAGGTATGTGAACATGACTTGTAAGATATGCGTTTTCAAGAGATGCACGGAAAATATAGATAGCACGGTAATTTTCACGCTTATTTCGTACAGCTCCCTTGAGTAATTTTGTAGAGCAACTACAGCCCAAGGAAAGACACGGGGCGAGACGAACAAAGACTTCGTTCGTTTCATTGTCTATCTTTGTAGTCTAATTACTCTACGTAATGGGTGGCACGCTGCATCAATGCATGGGTGCCTTCCACAGCAGTCGCCAAAGGCACACTTCGGCTCCGTTTACTGTACATCTCAGTTTCAAAAAACGATAACGGTGAAGGAGCTCACCGCCCTCATTCCTGATGAAATCATCAGTGAGCGGACGATGGCGCTTTAATCGGGCGCCAGATAAAGGACGGGTTTGCCGAGCTGTGTTTTCTTGACTGCTACTATTTTGCGACCACTTCTTGCTGATTATTCCGTTCTACCAACGCCTCCTTTATTTATTTCAATGTCAGTGCAAGCGCGCACTCCTCGACGGACGCCGTCGATCCACGTTAGTTCAGCGAGTGGTCGCGATGGGACGCCACATGTAGTGTGGGGCTGCTTGCGTCCCGCGTGCGTCCGAGCGCTTTCCAAAGGAGATGCGACAGACGTGTTAGCCTCTACAATATCATACATCCGTGAAGCTTGTTCCTTCGTGCGCCTTCTTTGTGGCTCGAATCAGTGCCGCTGCCACCTCATGGCAGTGCTCTTAAACGTAAGCGCATACAGCAGCATCTGAGTGACGCCATTTCCACATGGATGGATGGATGGATGGATGGATATGGCTGTACCCTTTAGATCGGGCGGTGGCTAGCGCCACCAAGCCGTAATACTTAATGATCTCAAAACTATATTTATTTATTT